GGTGGGGTGGGGGGTGGTGTCCTGGTGTCCCAAGAGGCCGGCGCGATGGGGTCCGGCCAGAGACCTTTTCCCAAGGGAGGAGTCGTCCTGGTTTCTGCACTTTTCAGAGACTGCCACACAAGGAATTGGCAAGCTCTGAGTGGTCGCTGAAGCTGCGAGATTTGAAAAGATGAATTAATTGGGCTGCAGCTTTGCAAATTGCAATTCCAGATGTGAGCCTTCTCCGGCGAGGCAGGGGCAGAGGGCTTATGTGCCTAAAAGTTCAGCTAGTTGTGCCTAAATGCCTTCATTTCAAGGCATTTAGGGCTTGCGTTATACAGTATACCTCTTCCAAATATAAGGACATTATTATTTACTCTTCAAAAGAGTCCCAGCAAAAATAGGTTTAGGATTGGTATGAGGGGGAAAAAAGGGGGGGAGTAGGAGAGTTGCATTTCTTTTCCATCTTGCATGAATTGGGACTTAAAGATTTCTCAGGCCAGCGGGGAGTTTCAGAGTAAGCAAGCTTTTCAGACCTCACTGCTTGCAAATGGGTGAATTATTGCCTTCCTCTTTCTCAAATCCTCAGTGCAGGTTCAATTCCTAGCATCTCCAGTTTGCAGGTAGCTGGGCGTGTGGAGAGAATAACACGCGAAGGAAAATAATCTTTCCTAGCCATTGAATAGCTGGGCCAATAATATGAATTAATGGCAGCACTGGTCCATTGCGTAATATGAGACATTCAGAATTACTCAAAACACACCATCAATTCATCTACATTTAGCTGATTACACAGCACTGACTGCTTCCATGGTAAATATACATAGATTTATCATTAATCACATGTTGAATACAGAGGCTGCACTCATCTGAGAGCTCAAACAATACTCAGACATTCTTGGTTATGAGTAAAGGAGGCATAAGGACCTCAGACACAAGTAGAAGTCTGTCCACACATTTAAAGTGTTTGCTAGCTGACAGCTCACCATTTCTGGATCCTCTTTGTTTTGGGGGGCTCTGAATCTACGATATCCTTGGCAAAGGCTGCACTCTGCTCCACCATAATGTTGTTGCAACAAGAGAGCACTTCTATTTTGGGCATGGGAAAATTATGAAGATCTTTCATCTCTGTTAGATACGCAGGCTTTCTTTTGTCACAGAGATCTGCTTCTTCAGATTACAAGATACCCCAATCAACCTATTCTGCTCACTAAAATTACCAGAACATCATTGGAAGGACCTGGCTAAAAGCACTTTAGAAATTGTATCTCATTTTCAATGGATCAATTTGCTACCTAGATGCAGTGATGAAAATAGTGACAGACAATGGGCCTTAAAAGCAAAATCACTGGAGATCAGCAGCTTGGGGTCATAATCTAGTTAGTGATGGATATGGTATTGTCTACAGTTAGACTCCCTGTGCTTTGTGTAATAAACTATATATATCATAGTTTTTCTAGGTGTTTCAATGAATTGTGCTGTACTTGCATTATATAATGGAAAAATTGCAGTGTATAATTTTCCTCCATTAGCTATGATACTGGGGGGCACCCATGGGATAGGGGGCTGTCAACAGCATCAAAATGATGATTGCCACAGGGCAATGACAGCCCATCCCTTTTAAGCACACATCACATGCATGTAAGAAGAGGTGGAGCTTTAATTGTCTGATTACATGGTACACCTATGCCCAACATTCCTATTAACAGAACCATCATCTACTCAGAAATTATACAGGTAGTTCTCAACTTACAGCCATTCATTTAGCCACCATTCGATGTTACAATGGCATGAAAAAAGTGTGTTACAACGAATCCTTGCACTTAACAACTGTCACGGCATCCACACCATCATGTGATCAAAATTCTGGTACCAATTGTGGTTGTAAGTGAAGGATTACCTATATACATTAGTGGTCTAAGAATCTGCAAAGGAGAATTTAATTTAACTTACTGATTTCTATGGGACAAAAATGTAGGGGATGTAGCATTTTCTTAGATTCAGTACTTGCCTGTGTTTGATTATTTTCTCTTTTCAGATAAACACCTATATGTATATAATACTTTTTTTCTGATGTCTATAATTAATGTTTTTAATTTGGGAGATGAAATGTAGAGAAACTTATTTTATGATTATTAGTATTATACAGAATACACAAAAGTATGCAATTTAGTTTCAAAGTCATAAGATTTCATGGTATTCAGAAAAATACAGCATTCATAGAATTATATTGCAAGAATAGTAGGGTTAGTATTACTATTATTATTTTTAAAAACCATATCTAATCTGAACCCATTCCCTAACTGCTTTGTGTTCTGCCTTCCTTTGGTACAGTGTTTCTTAATGTTGGCCATTTTAGGATGTCTGGAGTTCAATTCCCAAGGAAATTGAATTCTCTGGGGAATTCTAGAAATTGAAGTCTGCACATCTTAAAATAGCTGAGAAGGTTGAGAAAAGCTACTTTAGTTAGAATTTGTTCTAGCAGAGCCATTGTGTCTGACTGTTGTTGGCCTTCAATCTTGCCTTGTGCATAAGTAAGTAAGTACAACTTACTGTGAATGCTGTGAATGTTCCAACACTGAAAGTTTTCAAGAAGAGAATGGACAGCCATTTGTCTGAAATGGTATAGGGTTTCCTGTCTGAGCAGGGGGTTGAACTAGATGACCTCCAAGGTCCCTTCCAACTTTATTACTATTACTATTATTATTATTATTATTATTATTATTATTATTATTATTATTATTATTATTATTATTATTATTATTATTATTATTATTATTATTATTATTATTATTATTTACAACCACAATTGGTACCAATGGGACAAATGCCTTTTCTTTCTTCATTGTGGTAAAGTATTTTTTCTCATAACCATCACTCACTTTTTTTAATTGAATTAAATACATATTATATTTAAGGGGAAGATATATGATTCTTATCTTTTTTGTTTTTCTGGGTAGCTGATTTGTTTTTACAGAGCGTATGTGATATGGTTGCCACAACACAGACTGCCCCTGCAAGCGCCGGGCTACTCAAAAGTCATATCCCTGCTGCTGTGTCCTCAAACAATTGTGCTTCTACTGATCTGGCAGTGCCCAGAATAGCTAATGGGGTTGCACTGAGATGTAATGGGAATAACAACACAACCTTTACTGGCAGTAGCGCTACTACCTTGCTTGAAGTGGAGGAGAGGGGAAATGGATCAACTTAATAGCTGGAACTGAAAATGTTTCAGATTCAACCTGGGAACTCTTATAGGACAAGTCAAATAATGAAGCCATGCTTTGCAGGAGAGAAGGGCACTATGGAACACACTCTCATAACTTTGCAGTCTGAAATTTGCAAAGCTGCAGTGGGCCTTTGCACTTTATGAAAGGCAAACTCTAGACTAAAAAGCCTTCCTGGCATTAGCTGTGAAACTATCCCTTAACACCTAAACCTGGGTAAATTACCCTAACTTGAGTAAAAATGCTATTTCTTTAGCTGACTTGCAAACCCAATCACAACAGGGACATTTCAATTGATTTTAAATTCACCTACATGGGGTAAAAAGGACTTCCCGATAAGCAGCTTTGGATAATGAAGGAAAAATTTGGGAAGCGCTGCCTTAACAATTCAAGAAAAATGAAGCTGGATGAAGTGAAGCAGTGAAGGCCAGAGAATAATCAGATAAGCATGAACTCACCACTTTTAAAAATAATTTTTCTGGCAATGTTCTTTGGAAAATGGAATGACTAAATCAAACTCCAGAAGTTCCAATCTGCATGGCTGTGTTTGATAAGTGTAAAAGAAGAAATGTATTTAATGTGGAATAAGCTGCTTAAGTATGATTTCTTAGATTCTGTAATTTGGATGGTAGGTGGGAAACTGTCCTTGTTTCAAAACTTTATTTCAAACTGAATATACTCAGATCAGGAAGGGATTAAGGGAAAACTCTCATTAAGCTTGTAGACATGGAGATTTTAGACACTGTTGTCATTCAGAAAAGCTGATTGTCCTAAAAAGCAAACTTGCTCTTACTGTGCTAGAGGATATTGCAGCTAGAATTGGTTCCCTTGGTGCAGGGGTCTTCAAACTTGGCCCTTTTATGACTTGTGGACTTCAACTCCCAGAATTCCTCAGCCAGGCCTGCTGACTGAGGAATTCTGGGAGTTGAAGTCCACAAGTCACAAAAGGGCCAAATTTGAAGACCCTTGCCTTAGTGGGTCAAAAGCTAGGAAATTGGTTGTCCTTGGTTTGGTGTGTGTATCTCTGTGTTCTTATTTCCTCTTTTATTTTTTTCTATTTTACTTCCATAATCTTGTAAGTTACTTAGAAGCTTTTCAAACTGAGAGTCTCATACCCTACAGAAACAAAAAAACTCATGTCATTTAAATATTGAAATGACATACAGGTAGTCCTCAACTTACAACCACAATTGAGCCCAAAATTTCGGTTGCTAAGTGAGACCTTCGTTAAGTGATTTTTACCCCATTTTACAATCTTTCTTGCCACATTTGTTAAGTGAATCGTTGCAGTTAAGTTAGTGACACAGTTGTTAAATGAATCAGGCTTCGCCATTGACTTTCCTTGTGAGAAAGTCACAAAAGGTGACTGCATGACTTTGGGACACTGTGACTGCCATAAATATGAATCAGTTGCCAAGCATCTGAATTTTGATCACGTGACCATGGGGATGCTGCAACAGTTGTGAGTGTGAAAAACAGTCATAAGTCCTTTTTTTTCAGTCCGGTTGTAACTTTGAATAGTCACTAAATAAACTATTGTAAGTCGAGGAGTACCTGTTTTTATTTGGTTTTAAATATTAAAACAAAATAGAAGTTACCCCTATGACTAAAACATACGAAGAACGGCTGCGGGACTTTGGGTTTGGCTAGTCTAAAGAAAAGAAGAAACAGGGGCGACATGATAGCAGTATTCCAGTATTTGAGGGGCTGCCACAGAGAAGAGGGTGTCACATTATTCTCCAAAGCACCAGA